GCCTAATTTTTCCAGGAAATTTGGTCATGGCCATCTGATGCCTTTTTAAAGTTCTTGCAGGGACCCCATATTTTTTGACAGCCGTTTTTAGTGGCATGCCATTCGTTACTGATTCAACAGCAATTTTCAATGATTCATCATTATAAGACGAACATCTGGTGGATTTTCTTATGTAATTTCTTACCATTTTCAATCTTCAAAAATTAAAATAACTTTAATTTAATTTTAAAAACTTATACAAAAACAAGTTTGAAAAAATTTTAAAAATATAATTTTAATTACAATTATTGGCTGCCTTAAGTGAAAATATCTAAAACTTGACAAATAGTTAAAACAATTAAAGTTAGCCTTCTTGCCCCAAAGTAAAAGAGGCGTTTTGCCCCAAAAGAGAGCGCGAAGAATAAATTAAATTTTAATCAACAAAAAATTGTTCTAACCAATTTGAAGTTGATTTTCCATATGTAAAAATGATTTCTCCTCACAACAAACTACTCCTAATCACAAAAAATTATGTTATTTTAACAAATTTTAAAAGAAATCGAAAAACAAAAATTATAACACGAGCGATATTTGACCTACAAATTCTTGAAACTTTTTTAATAAAATAACCAAAGCTCAATACCACGCGGTTTTTTATTATAAATAATGTGGGTGCGTTCTATTTTTCAAAAATTAATTTAAAAATTTTCGGACTTGAATTAATTCGGAGAAATTTGAAAAAGTGCTTTTTGCCCCACGTGGCGTTTTGCCCCACGCTACCCTACTGGCCCTCCATGAATACGATTACCAATTCGGTTGTTGTCCTAGATCACCTAACGTCGCAGATTTCATTACAAGAATTTTACAAAAAATCAATCATGATAACAATTTTAATTTGTTTATTTTGTCACGCAATCGAATATTAATTTTAGGTAATTGTTCCTAAAGTGTCGTGAATTGCATGTTAAAGGGCTAATAATCGAACGTTTGTCGTGTCTAATTAAATTGAAATAAAGAGCACGTTGCAGACTAATTCTAAAAATATTTAATAACTTACATATTTATATCGTCGTAACTTTCCGAAGTGACTATACTGCCAGACCATTGTCTATAAAAGTAAAGATTGCACAAGAGCAGACGAGCTGAGACTGGACTTGAAATAATGAGAAAACAAAAGCAGCTTTATACATTCATTTCATCAAGTTCAAAGAGGCGCTTGACATAAACAGATATGACTAATTATGGTTAACTAATTAAATTTGTTTATTTTATCACGCAATCGAATATTAATTTTAGTTAATTGTTCCTAAAGTGTAGTGAATTGTATGTCAAAGGGCTAATAATCGAACGTTTGTCGTGTCTAATTAAATTGAAATAAAGAACCCGTTACAGACTAATTCTAAAAATATTTAATAACTTACATATTTATATCGTCGTAGCTTTCCGAAGTGACTATACTGCCAGACCATTGTCTATAAAAGTAAAGATTGCGCAAGAGCAGACGAGCTGAGACTCGACTGGAAATAGTGAGAAAACAAAAGCAGCTTTATACATTCATTTCATCAAGTTCAAAGAGGCGCTTGACATAAACAGATATGACTAATTATGGTTAACAATGTTTGACATAAGGTTTCCAACTTACCAGTGGCGGATCTAGACAACTTTGACGGGGGGGGGGCAAAATTTTAAAAATATTTAAAAGTTTAATTTTTTTTCAAATTTGGACAGGGGGCCAAGATTTGTGATCGCGTTGCCAAAATTAGGCTGGCGACCTTCTTTTGATATAAAATGGTGTTTTTTATGCAAAAGCTGAGTTTTTTTAATAAATATACTGTTCACAAGTGGGTGATGGTCTCTCCGGCCTTACCCCAAGATCCGCCACTGAATGTATATGTATAATATATCTTGTACATTCAGTACTGTATTTTAATAGCGCTCTGAAATTCCCCTGATTGTTATCAGATTTGAGATCTAATGCACCGTCATTCCGGTGTCCACGCAAAGCAAAATTCTGTCTTTCACAAAGTTTAATAGTTTCAATAATAGTGTTAAGCAATTTTCTGTTTTGCTCTATTTGTTGTAGAAAGAGCGGAGTTTGATAACTCTAAAACATTAGTTTTATTTTTAATCAAACTCAGAAACATTTCTGATTTTTCTGTAGCCTCTCTGTAAAAAGATGTCGCTTGATGACAGCGACATTGATCTAAAGCTGATTTATAACGATTTAAAGGTGATATAACAAATACTCCGACTGAGCCACATGATGGCTGTCCATTAGCATAAAGTACACAAAACATACAGAATGCTCCTTTTTTCAAATCAGAATAAGACAGCCAGAAAAATTCTTGAAACCAATGAAATTTAAAAAACCGTTTTCTTTTACCTTCCAACACAAATTAAAATTTATAATTTTCGTCATGTTTCCATGGATTTTTCAAAAGATCATATCTTAAATTATTCGAAATGCTTGGGATTTCTACAGTTGCATATTGTCCAATATCTAAAGGTACTGTTTCATTTGAAAAACACTGACATGAATTACCAGTTTTTCTGAAACATCAGTCATGTCATCGTTTAAGTTTAATAAAAGGCCTTTTTCCAAGACATCAGATTCTATAATGGAAAAAAAACGTTGAGATTAAATTTTTTAATTTTCTTTCCAGAGCTGAATAGTTAAATATTACAAACTTAATTCAAGTCTAGTCGGGTATGACTGGTAGGTATTAACCCTACCAGTACAAACAATGTTTTTATTATTCAGCTTATTGCTAATTTTTTAGTAGAAAATACAAAATTATTTCATATGCAATTATTTAAATATCTAGGTATTACCATTAACGGGGCCTCAACTGTATTGAGATCATCGCACTGGTTCTGTTTTTTTTGCCGGAGTCGGTTGAAAAAATTTTAAAATACTACTTTTTTAAAAAAACATTTTTTTTAATTTTAAAACAAATTCAAGTGCAAACTGATTTTATGAAACACAAAAAAATAATATAAGACGCGCCAAATCGTAAATGGAATAAAATGTGAACTGCGAACAAAACATAAAATTATGAAAAGTCTAAATAAGTAAAGACTACAATATTTTTCGATTTACATTTTGTTGATATTAGTTTTCAATAAAAAAATATACTGAGAAAACATGACGGGGATACTTTTGTCATATTTTAACCAGGGCATCGAACCGGAACTGAACCGTAACCGAAAACCGTTAAAAACCGAAGTTTTTTTCGGAACAAAAACCGTTGCCATTTTTGAAATTCTATGTTAATTTTTATTATCTTTGAAAATTTGTAATCTCTCTTTTCGTTTGTTTTTCCGACTGAGTATGCCGATCATTTGAATAAGAATTGCCTCGTGAAAAGAAATCCAATATAATCGGAGAAATTAGAGATCAAGTGCGATCGTCATCAAAATTTTGAAGTACCAGCTACACAAGTGAGCCTGAAAACATCTGTTTTTAGATTAAAATTTATACTCTGAGACTGCAGAAGTGGTTTCAATAAAAACATTTTTAGAAGATTATTAATAATCAGAGGAAATTTTTATCTTTTTTGAAACAATCTTATATTTATATGAGTGATTTCAAAATATCTTTGCAATGATTGTTTTAATTTGTTGAAAAAAGTATTGAAAACGTCTCCTTTTATACTAACAACTTTTAAAAATCATTTTTGTTATTGATTTATTATTCACAATCTAAAATTTATTTCAAATTGACATTGTGGTGATAGTTGGATGTCCGTTACATGCGTTTAAGGAACTATGCCTAAAAAAAATTAAGTTTCGGAGTGAAACCGAAAACCAAAAAAACCGAACCAGGAACGAAAACCGGAACCGAAACGAAATTCGTTTGGCTGATTGAACCGAAACCGTAAACCGAAACGAAAAAAATTACGGTTCGATGCCCTGATTCTAGCCCGATCACTGCACGCACAGCGAGACAGGAAAGGTGCTTTTAACTACTAGGCCATCACGCTGCAACCAAGTCAAGGATTTGTCAAGGCTGCAATAATGTTCTACAGCTACATACACAATATTCGGAATTGAAGTGAAGGTTGTTAACGATCTCAAGAACGCCGATAACGTTGCTTTACTGACAAAAAAGATAAAAATATTAGTAAATTGCATCGTGAGCTCAACAAAAAAATACGAGAAAATTAAAAGTATTAAAAAAAATAAATTTGCTAAAAAACTAGAAACTATGACCAAGGTCGAAAAATCGGAAAAATATATAGATAATGTTAGATATATATGCTTCAATGAATTTCATCAACAGATTATAATGTTTATACATAGTCTCTACAATTAGAGTAAGATCAAGATTGGTGGTGATTACGAAAATAATGGTTAAGCTGACAAAATAAATGGGACTTATCAATCTAAACCACCACAATGCTAAGTGTGTGACAGTGCGTGACGAAAGCACTGGTTTGAACCTTGGAATTTTAAGCAGACGTGGCCAGCACGCTAATAGAGGTGTAGGCCTATCTAGTTTTTTGAAAATAAATCCATCAAGAAGTTACTATTATTCTCATGAACAAAATAAGTAAAATATGACGAGTTTATAAATACTTTTAAAATATTTTTCGTCACTAAAAACAGCGTGATGTTAGTCTACTTTGGAAAAACCTTTGATTTGTTAGATCGAGAACCAGTCAGCTAGATAAATATATGGTGACCTGGACTGAACTATTAGGGACCAACCTATAAATTATCAAAAAATATAGAAGGCTGTCCCGTAGCCATAGTCAATACCACCACCATCACCACTAAAAAGCAACGACGAACGGCGGAAAGACGTGAATTTTATTTCTCTGGTGAATGATATTGCTGTCAATGAACCAACCACTGAAAATCTTCAATTAAAACTTACACAAACATTTACGAATTTTCCAACTATTTAATTTATGTAAATTTATTTTTTTTTCGCAAAAGAAAAAAATTAATTTTAATAAATTGTTAACTAACACAAAAAATTTAACACAAAAACCAAACAAATTTAACATATCACTTTTTAGAACTTATAAAATGTCAAAAAATAATGCAGCATATATGAGATGACAAGTTCAAACAATAACAGGAATGACACAATTTCAAAACAATTGAATATCAGATAAATTGTGTTAATAACAATAAAGTAGAAACAAACAAAAAAAAACAGTCAGATAAAATTTAATGTTTAAAGTAATCTTTCGAGAGAGGTTTAAATGGATTCGATTTGTCAGCTGGATCTAATTCGTTGAATGATTGAGTGTCTTCCACTTCTTTGTAGGTAGAGTTTGATAAACTGTTTACAAATGAAAACCTTTGTTTAGGTTATTCTTTGACATAAATTTTTTTATTTGGCCTCAATTAAAAGCAGCATAGCAGCATTATTGAACTTCAATATTAAAGTTCTTTAAGTCAAAACAATCGTTAATGGTTATTGATTTTAAAAATCAAGTATACTTGATCTCGCAAAAATAATTTTAAAATATTTTTCGTTATTTAGTTATTTTTAGTTTTCTGCAACTTGCTACCTATATACTTTCCGGCACTTAATCATTCAAACAAATGGTCGAGCCCGGAAGACAAAAAAAGATTAGAAAATATATTTATAACAGCAATAATAGTCGATTCGTGAACAAAAATGTTCAAATTAGATTTCTGTCGTTACGTTGCAAAAATTAGGTTTGTTGTTAACGTCAGCAACATATATTTGAGTTTGTTGTTGATGTTTAATAAACTTTGAAAAGTTCAATCGTAAATTTTTTTTTCGCTTCATTATTTTTACATAATTCTTTCTAATTCATCCATGTCTATTTCTTCTCTTAATAAAGATTTTTCCTCAATCTCTTACTGAAACTATTTTTGATACTACCTTATTTTCTGATGTTGATGATTTTGTCTATGCTTTTAATATCTACATTACTTCTACTACTTATTCCTCTTAAATTTTTTACTTATAGGCTCTATTCTCGTAAAGCTCCTTGGTTCGATTATGCTTGTGTAGTAGCCAAGAAAAGTGTTAGAAGACTGGAGAAAGCCTATAGGTTAAATCCATCTAACTCTCTTTATTCTATCTATGAATCTGAATTGATTAATTATAAATATCTACTATTCTCTGAAGTCTAAACACTCTACTTTTCTTAAAAATTCTATAACATCTGCTTCAACATCTAAAAATAGGTGGTCTGCTCTATCTAAACTTCTTCATAAGTAATCCTCTCACTCATCTTTTTCTGCTCAACAGTTTCATGACTTTTTTGTAAACAAAATTACTTCTTTAAGAACATCTAATTCTAATTTTCCTTCTCATAACTTTACTAAACTTACTACTGAATCTTTTTCTGTATTTACTCCAATAAATCTAGAACTTACTAAAATTATTAATTCTTTGTCATCTACAACCTGTTCTCTGGATCTACTTCCTTCTAATTTACTTAAAAAATTTTCTTCAATATTTTATCCAGTCATTCTCAAATTAGTTAATTTAACTCTTTCCACCTCCAAATTTCCTACTTCCTATAAGAATTCTATTGTTATTCCTATTCTTAAAAACTGATCCTTAAATCCTACCTCTTTATCTAATTATAGACCTGTTACTAATATTACTTTCATCTCTAAAATAATAGAAAAAGTAGTTTTTAATCAATTGTCATCTTATTTAAATTCTAACTCCTTGCTACCTGTATCTCAATCTGGTTTCAGACCTGCTCACAGTACTGAAACTTCTTTACTCAAAATACACAATGATATCCTTCTCTCTAGTGACAATAGTAATCTTACCCTTCTTTTTGCTCTTGACTTTTCCTCGGCTTTTGATACTGTTGATCATACTATTCTCTTGAGGCTGCTACAATTTTTTTTTAATATTACTGATTCTTGTCTATCTTGGTTTTCTTCTTATCTCTGTAATCGTTTTTCTTCTGTTGTTCTCAATAATTCTACTTCTAACTCCTCTACTCTTACTTTCGGGGTACCTCAGGGTTCTATTTTTGGTCCTCTTCTATTTATACTCTATACCTCTGAACTACCTCGTATTATTAATGAATTTTCTTTCTCTAGTCAACTATATGCTAATAATTCTTACTTTTATACTTCTTTTCCTCCATCTAATCTCAATAGTGTTCTTCATAATCTATCTCTATGTCTTTCTTCAATTATCGCTTGATCTGACTCTATGTGTCTTAAACTTAATCTTTCTAAGTTTGAATTAATTTGTTTTAATAAATCTAAACACTCTATTACTATTCCTCCTATTATCTTACCTGATTCTAAAACTCTTAATGTCTCTCAAAAGTTTCGTAGTCTAGGTTTTATCTTTGATTCTACTTTGTCTCTTTCTTCACAGATTAATAGTGTCGCTAGAAGTTGTTATTTTCATTTAGGTAGAATAAAAAAACTTGCCTTTTCTTGATAATCCTACTCTTCTCCTTCTTGTTACTTCGTTAGTCTTATCTAGGATTGATTATTGTAACTCGCTCTACCATGGTCTTCCTGATTCTATACTCTATTCTTTAAGTAAAGCTTTTAATTTTGCTGCTCGTCTAGTTGCTCGTGCCTCTTTCTTTTCTCATATATCTCCATATCTTGTTCTCTTGCACTGGCTACCTATAAAATATAGAATAATTTTTAAAATTTGCACTTTTATGTATAAGTCTCAATCTAAATTATTTCCTAAGTATTTATCAGATATATTAATTGAACCTAAACGCCCCGGTTTACGACGTCTTCTTCTTCTCGCTTCTTCTTAACTCGTGTTAAACACTTTTATACCAAATCTGCTTTTGCTTTTTCTGGCCCTTTTCTCTGAAACTCTCTACCTACTTCTCTGACTACTTCTCCATCGCTTACGAAGTTCAGAGCGGATCTCACGACCCGTCTGTTTTCAAAATTCATCGAGGAGCGCTGTTGAACATCGCGGAAATAGCGCTTTACAATTGATTGACTGATTTGATTGATTGATTGATAATTATTTTTTATTAAAATAATCTGCGCTTTTTTAACGATCAAAAATTGCGGTGGTTTGATAGTTTAATAGCATATGAAGCAACAGAGCAATACCAACTAGATTTCTTTTAACAAGCCATAAGTTTCGTTTTTTCTTGAAACACAACTTTTTAACATTTCGAATAATCAATTAATTCCTTGCTTGTGAAAAATAAGCTTGTGAATTATGATAATTAATATACATTTCTACCATAATGCATCAAGATAAAAAAGCTTGGGTTTAATTTTAATAAATTTGATCTCACAGTCAAGGAATTTATTGAAAAGTAATGTATTTTCTTACAAATTTAATGTTTCCTAAAAATAATATGAATTTTCTAAACTTTTTTTATCATCCGGGCTCGGCCATTTGTTTGAATAAATAAGGGTAAATGTCTGGGCCCGTAAGATAGGTAGCAAATTGCAGATAACATTTCATAGTAGTCACCATTCCTTTGCTGTTCTGTTATTCCCATTCTTGAAATATAAATTACTTTAGATATTTTAGTTCTAGGCTTAATTCGCAGCGTGCTGACTGTTGAAACTATCTAACCGGAAGACATTTCTGCCCTATATTAATCGTGAAACTTTAACCAAAAGACATCCATTGTCCTACGTTGATTGCGGAGAGGAAAAAGTATTTGAGAAAAATATAGCAAAATGTTGAACTATCCAACCATACACGCCACGCGTATGAATGCCATCTTTAACATTCGTTACAGCTAAACTAATTTGCTGACGAAATAACGCCTGTAAAATAATAAAAAGTAATTTTACAAACTTTGTTTTTTTTCCATTCTTCAATCTTTCCAGCCGTTCTGATTTTTTAAAATTTTCAATGTTAATTTTTTCGTTTGTATCGAAATTAACTCTATGTTGAAGATCTGTCCAATTACTGCAAATGGCATTAACTAGCCATTCAAAACCACTGTATAATGATTTATCAATAGTTTTGGCTTTCTTAATCTGTGCTGTGCAACTTTCCTGTTCAATAAAATTTTGGCTGCTTTTATCGGTCCTTGTTTAATGTGATTATGTAATAACGATAACAATTTTATTGAATGATAAATTAGAAAAGAACAAACGAACAGCATTTAAAAAAATTGAATTATTTAGAATGAAACAAATATTTTTTAATGAAAATCTTCATAAAATGTTAAGTCAATCAAGCCAAATCCGACAGACCTTCAAATTTATTATGTTGTTTCTTTAGCGTTTGGCGCTTATTTTCAAACCAGGGCATCGACACGGAACTGAACCGTAAACGAAAACCGTTAAAAACCGAAGTTTCGCTCGGAACAAAAACCGTAACCGAACCGAAATATTGTTTGCTAGTTTAACCGAAACGAAATAAATAACGGTTCGATGCTAAAAATTTAAAAGAAATTTTTTTTGTCAAATTCAGAAATAAAAAATATTTAGATAATATTTCGTCTTTTGAAATTCTATGTTAATTTTTATTATCTTTGAAAATTTATCTCTCTTTTCGTTTGTTTTTCCGACCGAGTTCGCCGATCATTTGAGTAAGAATTACCACGTGAAGAGAAATTCAGTATAATCGGAGAAATTAAAGTGCGATCATCTTCAAAATTTTAAGTACAAGCTACACAGGTGAGCCTGGAAACATCTGTTTTTAGATTAAAATTTATCCTCAGAGATTGCAGAAAAGGTTTCAATTAAAGATTTTAGAAGATATATATAATCAGAGGAAATTTTCATCCTTTTTGAAACAATCTTATATTTATATGAGTGATTTCAAAATATCTTTGTAATGATTGTTTTAATTTGTTGAAAAAAATATTAGAAACGTTTTCTTTTATACTGACAACATTTAAAAATCATTTTTGTCATTGATTTCATGTTCACACTGATAGTTGGATGTTCATATGTCCGTTACATGCGTTTAAGGAACTATGCTTGAAAAAATTAAGTTTCGGAGCAAAACCGAAAACCAAAAAAAACCAATATTATTTCAGGAACGAAAACCGGAACCGAACCGAAATTCGTTTGGCTGATTGAACCGAAACCGTAAACCGAACGAAAAAAATTACGGTTCGATGCCCTGTAAACATTAACGCAATGTAAATAAAAATTAAGAAATCTAAAAAAGAACAATACAAATTTTGTGTGAGTGTCGTTTTAAAAGAAGGCGTACCCATGGATATATTATTTATATCCATGGGCGTACCTATATGCTGGAAGTTGCTAGGCAGAGGTTGCTAGGGAGGATGTAGTTCCCCGAAAATTTTTAAACATAATTTACTACCACATTTATATTGTACCTGAAATAAATAAAATAAAACTCAAAATTTTAGATTAACCCGCTAAAATTGACAAGTTTATTAAAGATTAAAACAACTCAGTTTTGAAAACGGAGCGAACACCAACACAGCCAGCCTTACATCTTTATTCTTTACGATTATTACATTGAATTGAAAGCTTGTGTATGTTATTTTTCTGTATTTTTCTAAAATTCTAGGCTGAAATATTTTCATAAGTTTAAAAATAGTGTGCTAATATTTGAACACAAATTATTTTTGACATCTAAACTTTTCTGAATGACACATAATAAAATTGAACAGCTTTTCACAACATGTGACTAGGCTCTATTGTTAAACGTTACTGGTATTGTTATTGATCTCAGCAAAGCCTTTGATAACATAAATCATCGTTCTATGATGTGATAGGACTGTGATGTCCAAATTAGCACGAACAGAAACAAATTCAGGTGTCAAGTTATTAACGTCGCAACACAAAGCACAGTTTGGATTTTGTGAGGAACACTCAGCAGAACAGGCCATGGTAAAATTAATCAGAAAATTTGGATATCTTTAAGTAAAGGACAATATAAATTTTATTGTTGGAACATGCCTAGATCTCTCCAAGGCATTTGATTGCATCGTGTCATCCTGTTAAACAAGCTGTTCCACTATGGCGTAAATGGGTAAATAAAAATATGTCATAATGTTTCTGGCAAATAGTTTTTTTAATAGTGAGAATATGATCTGTTTTGATGTAAAATTTAAGATTCGTGAAAACTAAAACGCAAATACTCAAAAAATAGGTGGTGAAAAATAGAGAGTGAAAAAATATTTGAGTTGAATTTAGAACAGGGCTACAGAAAGACTGTGTAAACTAAAAAGAAGTATACACAATTTCTAAACTTTTAGGAATTAGTTCATCAAAAATTACATCTTCATAAACGACTTATGAACATCGAAAGGTATAAACTTAATGTAAATGAACGGGAAAATCATAACAATATTTCAAATTAATTCGAAATAAATATTACAAACTAAATCGCATTTTACAAGAATTGGCGGTCACCCACCAATATGCATTTGTGTGAGATGAAACAATGATTTAAAGTGGGGCACACTATTGGATTCAAGAAGACCTCGAAATTTCTCTTATTTTGAATAACTCACGAGCTTTTTTTAGGTGCGTCATTAACGACCATCACATTTGAGTTTTGCTTAACAGAGCTAGTTTTCAAACGTGCTAGAAAACATGCAATTTCTCGGCTGGAGTAATAAATAAAGAGAAAATATTTTGCGCCAAGTTAATCAAGGGTAAGAACTAATTATTAAGTCAAAAAATCATGTATTTAAGAACAATGATGATAAAATGTGAGATCAGAATTAATTCAGGCGAATTAGTAAAAACAATTACAAAAAAGAAAAATAAAAAACTAAATACATCATTTCAAATAAAATTTACATAAGATATGCTAGCTGAAAAATTATTCGAAAACCTTTTTAGTCATATGACTTCAATATGACTTGGAGACTTCAACAATTTAGTAATGAATACATACTTCAATAAATGACCAACAATTTATTAATGCATACATACATATGACTAAGGATAATTTAATCTTTTCTATCCCAAAAATTTATAATTTTTACAATGGAGAACAGTATTATTCAACTATAATAGAAATCTTGGTAGGATTTCAACAAAAATTAAGGACAATGCAATTGTTTAACTAACAGAAAATTAACAAAGAATTTTTAATTAATAAATGAAGAAAATAATTTTCAATAATACTATTTTACAAGGAGTTTCAAATTCATTCGCTATGTTTTCCAAATTCAATTCATTGCATAGATCACTTTTATCCAAAGCTCCAGAAATATCTTGTTTGTTTGCTAGTCTGACGTAAAATATATTTATATATATATATACATAAATATATATATATATATATATAAACATTATATATACATACATATTACATATTATTTATAAGTACATATATATACAATTATTTATAAAGATCACTGTGTTTTCGCAGTCTAAACCCAAAATCTCTATCAAGGACATGGACTAAATACGTCGTCACTAATGAAAGTGACGTTAACTCTAATCTCAGTAATGAACTTAGAGAAAAAAAGAAATGCCGAAAACGCAGTGATCTTTATAAATAATTGTATTTATGATAGTCTCAACCCAAAATATATATATATATATATATATGTATATCAAATTTTATTACCGATAAACTGGTTGGTTGCATTTCAAATTGTTTACGTTTTTCTGAGGTTTCTTGTTGATTTTTTCGTGTTTTTCGTTAATTTTGGTTCTAACTTATAAGAAACATTCAGGAGATTAATAATATAATTTTATTTTTTAAATCTAATTGGAGTTAATTAATTAATTTAGTTTTTCTTTTAAGTAAATATTTGAGTTTAATATATAATTAGTTTTCTGTTGAACGTGCACGCATACACTCATACATACATATATATATATATATATATATATATATATATATACATATATATATATATATATTATCAACAGAGCTTCCTACATACGTTAGCTCTAACGTACGGGTACCTAATAACGATTCTATTCTTAAATTTAACTTCAATGAAATGAAAAACGACATATGCAATATGCTGCACAATCAGCAACTCTATCTATGCAGCATGCTGAACGCAGCCCCTCGAGTCCATAAAAGTGAACTTAATACCAACAACACCGATGTAAACAATGTTAAAAGCTACTCGGTAGCAGCAGGACAAAAACACGCCTCGTACAGCTCGGATGCATCATCTCCCAAGATCGTTCATCCAGCTTCGTCCGTAATCAACACACCACCATCTGATGAAACCTCGAAGCAGGGAACCCAATCGCTGGTGGATCTCAACGTTGAAGCTGCTCCTGCTCATTCTTCACTTTCAACTCCTAACAATAACATCAATAAAAACAACTCTAATTCCAGTGGCCACGAAGGCTCTTGGAGCACTGTTACTTCAAAGAAAAAGAGAAAATACACTCCAATTACTGTAGGTTCCAAACAACCTGGGTCCTTCAAATTATCTGCAGCTCCTTTGCCTCCCAAAAAAATTGTTTTTGGGGTAGGTAAATTGAAAAGCTGCGTCAAAGAAGAGATCCTTGAACATCTGGAAACTATTGGACTGACCGCTGCAGAATGTGTACCAGTCTTTAAATTCTCTCCCACTCGTCCTCAACCTTCAACCAGTGATCCATCAACAAAATTCCGCATAACTATTTTTAAACATCAGGAAATGATTTTTACCAATCCTGAAAATTGGCCTATCGGCGTGGAAATTCACCCCTGGTTGTTTCATGCTCGACCACAGCATTTGATAAAACCCACTACAACTTCACTACCAAATCATTATCCTGTCTACAACTTCACTACCAAATCATTATCCTGTCGACCTACCAAATGTTAATACACCATCGCTGGTCAACTCACATCAGCATGTAGAAAACACAGTTGAGGTAGCTTCCATTTTAACTTCTTCGGAAGAATCCACTCAGCCAGTCGAGCCAGTCACGATGGGCCCTTCTCAGCTGGTCGAACCACATAAACAACAACAAGCCTCATCGATGATGAGTCCTCCCTCCGATGTCAATTCTGCGACATCAATAAATCATGACAATGGCTATTAACAATACTTATTCCACAATCAATTCTATCCAACAACATCCTCAACCATCAAACAACGACGAAGATGATCAACACTTTAACGCATACAACACCCACATCGACCCCTCAAAGAACCTCCTAGATTCATTCACCAGACAGTCATCCTACTACATCACAAGAGATCTACTCAACATTCTAGAAGCCAAGTACATCAACAATCATGATCACCCTCTACTTCTACTTCACATAAACAGCAGAAGTCTTTTAAATAAAATTTCTGACATTTTAATTTTAAATAAATTTTTATCTTATTTTTTTCCCATTATTATTATTTCAGAGACATGGCTGAATGACGAAACTGCTAAACTAGTTCGTATGAATGATTACAATTTTATTTTTAAAAATAGGTCTGACAGAATAGGTGGTGGAGTCGGAATCTTCATCAGATCAGGCATTGAATTTTCTATGATAAACAATTTGCTTCTGAACGACACCGTTATTGACCTTCTTGGTGTCAATTTAAAATTAAACAACACACATGTAAATATTTTAGCAGTATATAGACCCCCCAACACTGACCCTAATATCTTAATCCAAAAGGTCGAACTTATTTTACCCACATTCAAGCCACACATAAAGAGCTATTTAATTGGCGACTTTAACCTTGACCTCAATAAACTCAACAGTGACAACGTCGTTGCAGACTTCTCTAACCTACTATCATCATACAACTTCTTACCTCTTATAACCTCCTCTACTCGCATCTCAACTTCTTCTTGCTCACTCATCGACAATATCTTTACTAACAATCTAACTTCTCACTTATCTGGAATAATTCTGTCTGACATATCTGACCATTTCCCTATATTCGCCATCGCTTCCAAATCAGAAATCTCAAACCATGCCCCTATAAAGCACTTCAGAAACCTAACTGAAGAATCTATAAACAACATCAACAATTTCTTATCGAACTACAACTGGAATTCTTTGACTTCTCTAAAAAATGTCAACGACTGCTGCTCTGTTTTGAATACTATCTTAACTCACTCTCTAGACACTTTTGCCCCCCCTCCGTCCTGTCAAAAACAAAAAGAAAAAATGCTGGATCAATGACAACATTCTAAGTCTTGCAAAAAAGAAAAACAAACTATACATCATAAGCCTTAAATATCCAACCACCCGCAACATTGCCACCTACAAAAGCTTCAGAAACATGTTCACATCTATTAAACGAAAAACTGAACGAGACTACTTCTCTAACAAACTTGAAGACGCACATAACAATGTTGGACAAAAATGGAACACTATCAAAGAAATTCTAAACAAGCAACCTCCTAACTCATCAATCACCAAACTAACTATCAACAACCAAGCAATTGAAAATAAACAAGAAATATGTGACCTTCTCAACACCCACTTTGCAAACATCGCTAGTCAACTACTCTCAAACCAACCTCCCTGCTATGGTAATCCTACAGATTTTATGAGCCCATCCACACCCCATTCCATTTGTCTATATCCTGTTACTGAACAAGAAATATTAACTACTGTTAATATCTTGAAAAACAAAAAGAGCTATGCAGACGATGGACTCAACATGTTCCTTATCAAAAGCATAATTTTCTCTATCATATCACCACTTAATCATATCTTCAACTTATCACTAAGCACTGGAATCTTTCCTGACTCATTTAAAATAGCCAAAATCATACCAGTATTCAAGAAAGGAAACAAAGATGACATTAACAACTACAGACCCATCTCCATTCTTTCCCCGCTGTCAAAAATTCTTGAAAAACTTTTCTTTAAAAAACTCTCTAATTTCTTCTGCTCCAACAATACTATCTGCAATAACCAATACGGATTCAGACCCAACCACTCAACTGAGCTTGCTATTCTTGACTTCACTCAGCACATACTAAATGAAATAAATAACAAAAATCTTTCTATTGGCATTTTCCTGGACTTATCCAAAGCCTTCGATGTCATCGATCACAAAATACTCCTATCCAAACTACATCATTACGGAGTAAGAGGCACAGCTCACAACTGGATGAGAAGCTATCTTCA